TTTAGATGAATGTGAACATTTGAAAAAATGTGATATAGTCGAGAAAAATAGTCTTATGAATGTGGATTTTTTTTGGTATTCAAGTGAAAATGAAAAATTGAGAAGTTTATTTGTTTTGTTTTTTGCAGATATTCTCGTTCCTCTATGAAGGTGATCTTGCAAAATGTGGCAGTGTTTCGAGACGTTTTTACCGGATGTCAAATGACATCAATGTTTGGTGTGTTTTCAAGTTATTATTATTATCAAGTTTAAATTATTTCTTCTTGCTGTTTACAATTAGCAGTGTTCAGAATGATCAGTGAATTCGATACAATCTAGATATTTGGTATTTGGAATTATTCAGTTGTTGAGTTGAGAAGAGAAACCAAAAGTAATCAGGCGATGGTTAGTAATAAAATGAATGTTAAGGAGAGTTCTCTATCAAAGAGTATTCGAGTACACAGTACCGTTGTTCCATCCGGGACATGGAAAGTTTGAATTCCGAGATTTGACAAAATGGAAAGAGTCGAGGAACCCGTGGAAGGAGAGCTTTTTCCAGCTGGTATGTTTTTGAAGTCTCTCGTTGGTTAAGTCTTCTTTTTTCCGACATTTTTGATATCTTATGATCATTATTGCCTTCCAATTTTACATTGTATGCTTGAAATTCGCCTGTTTTAGTGAACGATTTTCGCCAATCGATTCAAAATTTCAGCGTAACGGTATCCATGTTCGACCACGAAAAGCGAATTTATACGAGGGTCAGAGGGGTCGATCGATTTTGCACTTTGAGCGACTTGAGCTAGCACTGCGTTTCCTGGAAGCACGACCCGACCGTGAGAAGTTGATCTTTCTTCACACTGGTCACTATTGCCCGGAACCGATCGTCATCGATACTCCAGTGCAAATTATTGGTGCAAGTAAGTGTTGTAGTGTTATCATCAGCTGCTCTCATAAATTTCATTATTCGAGCAATCATTCCCAAAACTGATTAGTTAAAAGTGGTTCAATGAGCAGCACTGATGCTCTCTCTGTTCAATTCCTTTCATAAGCATTGGATAATTGAGGTCAAGTGACTTCTTACTTATGTATTCGTCTTCAAAATCCATGTTGCATCTTCTTT